ATCCGTCTTTCAGCCAGTTTTCATCTCTACACCGACAGTCCTGCTCCGCACCGACACTCCACCAAGTCGCCCATCTGTTGTACCTGGCTCAAAAGCGACGACAGGAAAGCCGCCCAACCCAGCCAGTACCAGTCTGGATGAGGTGATGAAGACAACAAAGATCATTATCGGTTGTTTCGTGGCAGTAACCTTGCTAGCAGCAATCATGCTAATTGTATTTTATAAACTACGAAAGCGGCATCAGCAGAGGAGCACGGTGGCTGCAGCCAGAACTGTGGAGATTATTCCGGTAGAGGAAGAACTGCCACCACCGGCATCTGTTGCCAATATAGCAGGGGAGGGGGCACTGACTCTACCAGAGATAAGGGATCATAACAGTATTTACAAACTGGACTACAACACCCACAAATCTGACTACGGCTACAAACCAAAACCAGAATACAGTACCCATAAAGCCAAGGACGATTTCGGCATCCACAAACCTAAGTCAGACTTCAACACCTACAAACCTAAAACAAACTATATGTACCAACCTACTTTGGAATACAGATCTCACAAACTGACGGACTATTCACACAAGTCATTGCCGGATTATCACATACACAAAAAAGCTGAGCAGAGCCCCTACAAACATGGATATAGTACTCAAAAATCTGACTACAAATCTCATACTCCTAAACCAGACTTCAGCCCATTCAAACCAGAGTACGGTGTTCCAAAATCCAAAACGAACTACAGTATGGCCAAGCTCAAATCCGATTACAGCCCCTTCAAGACAGACAGCAGCCTTTACAAACCTGACTACGGTGCTTTCAAGGCAGAGTACAGCCCCCTCAAAGCAGAATATGTCAGTTGTGACTTCAGCCCTCACAAGTCCAAAATGGATTACAGTCCTCACAAGGTGGACTACAGCCCGCATACGATCGACTACAGCACCCTGAAGCCCAAATACAACACTTACAAGACACCGGGCCATGGTGCCAAATGGACAGAAAGCAACAGTAGTGGAAATTCTTTGCCTCGAACCTTGCCCAGTGCTATCACAGCTAC